ACAGTACCATCTAACTTTAATTAGACGTAAGCCTCTAAACTTTTCCATAGAGTTATCGTTGAGAAAGCATCGAGAAAGTCTGTTCCTGTCGCGGATTTGGCGAATGAACCGTGCATCCTTCAAATATTAGCCATGAGCAGTGTTATGATGCAGACTGACAATGAACAGCGTGCTGTTGTACAATCTTAAGCATATACTTTGAATTACCCACAAACCTCATAGGGTCAAAAGAGACTCTAGTCTGCATCTGGAATAGATTCACAGCACTAAATGTGTCTGCCAGGCTAGAAATATTTCAAATCCTTCCAATCCTTCCTGAGAACACTGCAATAAAGTTAAACTCTTGTTATGTAACTTTATGTCTTTAACTTCTGAATAAAAGTGCGTGACTGTGGACTAAAATTCCTCGACTTTGCTTCTCTCCATCATCCAGCTTAATGATTGAATGAAACTGGTCGATACATTTAACACACACTCGAAGCCTGAGGCAGGAATAACAGAAATAAAGGTTGCTGTACAGTACACGTGTATGTTGGCACCACAACAGAAAAGAACTGAGGTCGGGGACATGTGCTACTGCCACTGCAAGCCGGAGGTCAGTATCATGGGTATCAGTTTCAAAGACAACAGAAGAAGAGAGTAGGGCTGCAAAATATCTCCAGTCTTCCCAAGACATTCCAGCTGGAGCAACTAACTTTCACAACAGGGTGGGAAAAAGGGGAGCAACAGGCCAGCACACACACACACCTGTACACTCTTAAACAACAGGTAACACAACACTTGTTGCACTATTTCATTTTGAAAAACTATACATCCTCAAGTGAAGGATCAAGCGACTCGTCTCCACAGAGACGACCAGTGACAAGGATAAACAGGGACAGCTACACCTTGTTGTCATGCTGAATACATATTTGCTATATGCAGCAAGACAACGACAAGTGCATTCAGCTTCCTACATAATGCAAACACATAACAACAGCAGGCTAAGTATAAAGGCAAACTCAAACATGACTGTACATTCTTCTCCATAATCCCACTAACAACCCAAAACCAAGGGGGGGTCACAGAGGCACATATCTCTCCCCCAGCCCATGGACGCAAATAGACCAGAGCAGACACAGAGAGACAAGCAGAGGGGGAGAGGAAGACATTACCAACCTGCTCTTTCTGTGGACGTGCAGCCCACATGTTGTCTGATCAATCCACTTGGCTTCACTTAAATGGAGAGCAACACTAACACACACACAAAGACGCAGCAGCAGCAGCAGACAGCTAGCTCTGTGCCTCTTCTGGTCTGTAAGTCTCTGAAGTGTGGCTGAGAAAAAACTAACAGTGAACTCTCTCAAACTCCTCAGGAAAGGAGGAGGTGGGTGTCTCTGAAACTCTAGACCAACCACAGAAAGCAGCTCCTCCCACAGACTTTTCTCATTGGACAAAAAAGGAAAAAAAAGTGCCGGACTTTTGGTGAAGTGGGAGGAGTCACCCTGGGGTGAAAACAGGGACCCCGGTCCTGCCTTTCATCTCATCATTTCACACTTTCTCTTGTTTTGTCCAAATTCTCTGTTCACCTACACTATTGTTTCTCCAGCTATATCATTCAGTCTTTATCCATTTGCACATGTAACAAAACAATAACAACAATTATTAAATACAAGTAGCAAAAAATGAAATCAAATGACAATGCTTGTAAAAAAAAAAACTATAAAAATGGGTTTGTGAGAAAAGAGAAAGAGAAAAAGAAAAAAACAATAACAGCAAGAAATTGATTTAGTTGTATGTTCACTCAAACCTGTGTGTACACAGGTTTCTGCTGAAAGAGCTCTACCTAATGAAATGTTCTCTTTTATCACACCTGTAGCGCTGAGGCATTTATTGCTCTGGCAGCCAAGACAAAAAAACAAAACAAAACAAAACATGTAGCCAAGTACAAAATTAAATGATCTCTCCCTCCATCTTGTGGATGAATGGATGTACTGCGCCCGGACACAATCACACACTTGGCTGTCAAAAGTGTGTGCGTCCATGTGTACCACTATGACACGGACTTTACCCTCTAATCATACTACCACTCCCTGGATCTATAGTTCAGACAAAATCACACAGAACAGATCAAACACAGAGACGAACTTGTGTGAAAAACGGTTCACAATGACCAAACAGGGAAATTGCTCCCAACACTAAAATCTAGCTGTGACATTTCAGTGAAGATACACAGTGCTGCTGTTACTTACTAATGTCCCTGAAAAACAGTCCAATTTTGGCATTTTGTTTCTGTAAATAGCGTTGGATATCAGCTTGTTGTTTGGCTATTATCGTCATTACCACAGCTCTTATGAGCACAGGCCCGCAGACGATTACACAACACAGATGTCAGAAGTTCATAGGTTAGGCAAAAAGAAAAAAAGAAAAAAAGGCCTATCACCAAAATACACACTAACACGCACAAACACACCCACGCAATACAGTCTGGAGACACGTACGACCACAGACAGGTACAGATACATACCAGATGTGATGAAAATGTCCCACAGAGGCTGTGAAAGGCAAACTGTCCTGACAAGTGTCCTGTTTGTGTTCGTTCAACCAACTCTGTCTCTCGCTTTCTCTTTCTCTCCTTCTCTCTCTCTCTGTTCCTCTCATCATGATTCCGTGGTCATAAACATAGTGGTATCTGCGGGTAAACACAGCGCAAAGGGCAGAGAGATAACAATATTTGAAGCACTGGGATAACATCAGTGCAATGGAAATAAAAATGTATTGAAACTCTAATTGTGAGGAGATGCACATTGATACTGAAACTGGCCATTTGCTTTGCCAGCAAGGCCTCCAGCAAGCTGTCAATCTTATAGTCTTATACAGAATAATGCCGTCAATGCTGCTAATAAAGCTAATTTAACCCCTTTTCATTTCCTGGAATGAATCAGTTTTGATGCTCAATCATCGAAATAATTGAGTTATCCCACAGAAATAAGGCAGTGGTTAAACTGATTCAAAATGGAGGAAAAGAGTGACAGATAAACTAACGCAAATCCTCATTCTCAGTAACACCTTGAGGGAATATCTTCAAATTTGGTACAAACATTCACTTAGACTCAAGGACGAACTGGTTAGATTTTGGTGGTCAAAGCTCAGGGTAACAGTGACCTCACAAAACAAGATTTTGGCCTTGTGAATGCAATATCTTAGGATCTCTTAGGGGAATCCATTCAAATTTGGCATGCACCCCTAGCTTTGTGTAATTTAAACATGTAAACCCGCACTTAATCTTTGTAAATTAAACTCTACAGCAGGTGGGATTTTACACATATTGCTAATTGTTGCAAACACTCATTAAAACAGGAATAGCGTGAACTCTTCAAAAGCCACAGCATGGCCTCAGCTGTCCTCATCCTGCAGGGGCCAAATTGAAGCCTTGAATTAAATCTGTATTGTATCTGTATTAAATCGCTCCAGACTGGCTATAATGCAATTTAATTCTTTGTGACTGTGGAATTAAACAGTTCCGTCTGGGCAGAGTGCAGTTCTGAGATATGAATCATCAAAGATGTGATCTCCCAACGGGCAAAAACTGTCTAACCTTTCTATAGCTTAACCCCAAATGGCTCTTTAAAAAAATGCATTATGCAGACAACTTTGAGAAGCATAACCCAGATAGGATCTTGTAATTTTATACCCATGACTAAATTGATCCCTATGGGAAAACAGTAATTTCACTCTCCTTTCAGGATCTTCTGCAAAACTGCACTTCTGGATTGCAGCTATGACAATTTTGAATCTCACCTGCAGCCACTGGGGAAGGTTTCTGGAGGGGGGGGGGGTCACTGCTCCCTCTTCCTCTGCACTGTGCTCTCTGAGACACTTGGTAACCTCAAGTCACTGTCCTAATAGCACCTGTAGGTGGCGTTGCAGCACTGACTCACTGTAGACCCCCACAGCATCCTCCTCCCTTGAGCCGCACCACTTCACCTGTATATGATGTTTTGCGCACTGGGAGTCAGGATCCACACACTGGATATGCACCATAACTAGAGGAGCGGATTTGGAGAGCAGGGGTGAATTTCTCTGTCATTCTCAACCACTTTATTTCACTTAAATCTTTCGAGGTCCTATCTGCATGATTATGTTGACAATGCGTCGTTCCTTCGTGGTTCTTGTGACTTTTACAAAACTGTCTCTGTTCCGTCACACAGTCCTGTTTGTTTTCACGGTGGTTGTTGTTTATCCGTTTGTGTTTGGCTGAGTTTTGAGCTCCGGTGGCCCTCCCAGGACAGATGTTCACTGCTGCAGCCGCATCATTACGACCCTGCCTCTGACTCACCATCACTGTTATTGTTTTTGCCTGACGTGCAAACGCAGGGACGCGCTGCTGGTGATGGGAACTCTTTGGGACTCTTTGGCGCATGAAGCATCATCATGTTTCAGTTTTCCCCAAAGCGGCTGGTAACTATCACAAACAGAAAGGATGAGGGAGATAACTTGTGCTTAAGTTGTCATAGATAATAGATGTTTATGCTGTGATTTTGTTTTTCTTCCTGCTGCATCTATTTCGTTTGGAATACACCTCCGTGCTAAATTGGCTGGTTTACAAACATCCAGCATGTAACCTACTCTTCAAGTAAGTACTTTTCAGTGCCAAACATTGTTGGGACACTTCAGAATGCGTGTTGCAGTGGATCATTTTGGATCGACCTAAAACAGACTCATTTTGTGCTAGATTCTGGAGAGGACTATCCGCTCCCCGGAGAATCTCAGACATCCTCTGTGAGCACAGAATTTTGATTAAGACTCATTTCACCTTCACTGTGAACGGGGGCTACACGAGACTGTTCGCAACGCGTGCAAGGATCTGGGTTTTACGCACGGCTGCCATTACCTCTGCAACTCAGACAGTGATGATGGGAGGAAAGGGCAGCGTCAGGGGGCATGAGGAGTCCCAGACCCGGGGTGCCTTTACCTCTATGGGCCAGGCGCGACCCCGTGAATAACCGCGAGGCGACAGCATGCCCTCTTGGCTCAACCACTCGGAGTGCATCTCCCATAACTGCAGCTGGGAGGAGATCAACGACACCACAAGGAATGATGACCCTGTCCTGCCTCCTCTCAATTACTACTCAATCCCACTCCTCACTGGCATCACCATCGCCTGCACGCTGTTGTTTCTGGTCGGGATGACCGGGAATGTCATGACCATCTTGGTGGTCAGTAAGTATCGGGACATGCGCACCACCACCAACTTATACTTGTGTAGCATGGCTGTATCAGACCTGCTCATCTTCCTCTGTATGCCGCTGGACCTCTACCGCATGTGGAGGTACAGGCCGTGGCGCCTTGGAGACGTGCTCTGCAAGCTCTTTCAGTTCGTGTCAGAGTCATGCACCTACTCCACTATACTGAGCATCACCGCGCTGTCAGTGGAGCGCTACCTGGCGATCTGCTTCCCGCTGCGCGCCAAGGCTGTAGTTACAAAAAGGCGGGTGCGCGCCCTCATTCTTCTACTATGGACAGTGTCTCTTTTGAGCGCCGGGCCCGTGTTTGTGATGGTGGGGGTGGAGCGGGATAGCATGGGACCACTAAATTTGAGTTCGGGAAAGAATGAGACTGGCTCCTCTCTGGAGGGCGAGGACACCCGGGAGTGTAAGATGACGCACTACGCCGTGGAGTCAGGTCTGATGGGGGCCATGGTGTGGTTGAGCTCCGTTTTCTTCTTCATGCCGGTGTTCTGTCTCACGGTGCTCTACAGCCTCATAGGCCGCCGGCTGTGGCAGAGACACCGAGAAACAAACATCAGCTCCCGTGTGGCTCACAGGGACAAGAGCAACAGACAGACCATCAAGATGCTGGGTAAGTTTGGAGAACGCGCAAATTACGCACAGTGCATAACTTGGTTCAGGCTCGATTTGTCAACAAATAAAAAGATAGATCAACTAATGAGTAAGCCAATGTCTGGATTTCAACTTTAGTCCTTAAAGTACATTCATGATAATAACAGAGGTTATGTTATGTTTACATCTAGACTTATAGAAAAGCGCTTTTGCCTTATTCATAACAACGTTTGCATCCATTTACTTCTTTCTCCCTCTCTCTCCACCCCACTATCTCCTTTTCATCCTTCCCCTCATCTTCACCTACTCATCTTTTTCCTCCCCCTCCTCCACCAGTGGTGGTGGTGCTGGCCTTTGTCCTCTGCTGGCTGCCGTTCCATGTAGGTCGCTACCTGCAGTTCCGCTCGCTGGACGCTCCATCCCCGCTGCTGTCGGTGTTGTCCGAGTACTGCAGCTTGGTGTCGGTGGTCCTCTTCTACCTGAGTGCCGCCATCAACCCCATCCTCTATAACACGATGTCATGGAAATACCGGGGCGCAGCGGCGCGCCTCTTCGGCCTCACCTACAGCCAGCCACCACGTGGGCGCACAGCCAGCACCATGAAGGGAGACGGCTCGAACGGCTGGACGGAGTCCACAGTCAGCTTCTAAACACACTGCACGACGGTGTGATATGATTTGATTTATGTTATCAAAGGTTGAGAACACCGATCTAAAAGCCATTATGTCAATCAGGCCGAGGAAAAACGTGCAAAACTGTGCACGTGAGCGCAACATCTGCCTGTATCTGACTGAGACAAAAAGAACCAGGGGATGAACCACAAGAAGCTGCAAGCTTCCATCTCCTTTTGTCAACATGCATCAATAGAACTTCGATTTTTCTTTTTCAAACACTTGGATTATTTCAGCAAGTGGCATCCACGATTCATACGACTTCACTCAGCAGCATTTGAAAATCATGCCTGGTGGAGCGCAAAAATACACACTAGCCTGAAGTGCTTATATTGATCCAAATGTGAACAACAAACAACAGGGGCGCACAGGCCCCTACACCCACATATGTATAAATATCATAGACATTTACAATTGCCTTATATTGTATTCATATTCTGGATGACAAAGAAAGCACTGTAGAACTTGTGGCACTGCTCTGTTCTCCTGTAGAGAGGAGCGGAGGTGCAGTGCGTGTGTGTGCGCGCGCGTGCGTGTGTGTGTGTGAGTGCGTGCATCAGAGAGAGAATAGAGTATTTGCATGTGTGTATTGTGTGCCAGGTGTCATGCTTTTGGATGTGATGCATGTAATTAGTTGGAGAGAGTGTGAAGATGTAAAAACACTTACTGTTACTGTTATTCATTTCTGACATGTTCAGCTCCCTCCTGTATCTTGGAGATTCAAGTCCATGCTGTGTTGATGCTGCCAGCAAGAGTCAGCGGAGCTGGTGGACAGTCCCTGAAGTGACAAGGATTAATATATACTTCACAGCAGTGATTGATTTTTTTGGTGATTGTGAGACATTTTACAGAGTGCAAACATTTCCAAGATGCACGAGTCTATAATTTGTGTGATTATCATTCTTTCAAGCTGCAGGTCTCTTGTTTCAGCTGCTAAATAAATCATCCAAGACAAAAAAAAAAAAAAACATAGCACGCAAGGAGTCTCTGAGAAGGCACAACAGTGCCAATTAATCAGTAAGGAAATAAGGAAAGGAAAGCTGCTTTCTGTTACTGTAAACATCAACATCACCGGCCATAAACACCTCAGCTTTCTCAGGCTCGTGAACTGTGCACCACTGAAACATCGTTGATTTTCTAACATCAGTATCTACATGTTTCAGCCATCTCAGGTGTACCGATGTAGGTAAGCTTGATGCAACACACAGAAAAGGGCCTTTTCTGCTTTTTGGAGCTGCGTGGGGACAATGTGCCAATCTGTGGATCCTGTCATACAAAACATACAGCAGATCTGTCTCATTGGTTATGCTGCTTGAATCAATATCTAACTTTGAAATTCATCAAAACAATGAGGAAGTAACTTTTCATTTTTCACCATTCACACCTTCTTCACAGTACGGGCGCAGTCAACCGGGAGTGTTAACTGCCCCGTGGATCACAGTGTTCTTTGGCACGTATTGTTCCCCACTCCCAAAACTGTTCAGCATGAACAGGCAGAGTGACTTCTTCAATGGTTAAATCAAACACGCACAATGTAAATTGTATTATGTATCTCTTGTGTATCTCATTGATTTGCCAATGAAGGACATGGTGTGAAACTTCTGGCCTAATATTTCCCTAGGTCCTCGGCCTGAGTCTGGCCCATATACTTCCACATTTGGGCAGATTGGCAGTTATCCTCTGGTATTGCCTGACAGTGCACCAGAATTGGTCCAGATGTGGAAGTAGCATCTTACAATCATGCTGTGTATGGGCCAGATTTGGGCCGTGGGACCCAGGCGTATAATGGTCCAGAATAAAACGAGCATGTGGCCCAAGTATGGGACGGATTTATTTTGCTACCTGGGTGAGACTGTTTGGGTGCCCAATGGAAAGAATTTTCATGGGTGATTAAACAGTGCATGCTGGTGTGTGAGCTGAAATAGAAAGAAATGTGCCAAAGGTCCCAACCTTGACAAAAATATTACAACAAAGTTCTGCAAGAACATTTTTAAAACAACCATGTTTGATGATGCAACAGATAAAAATATAAAAGTGACTGAATTTTGTAATTTGTGCATCATGCACCCTTTTGGACAAAGAGGATCAGTGAACTGTCTTTAAGTGATGATGTTATGCTTGCTTTAAATTGTAAATAGTAATGCTTTGTAATGCTGTACACTCAATGCTGTGCCCTCAGATGGTTTCAGCAGTCCAAATCACCGCAGCAGCCTCCACCAGTCTGCACTGGATTTCAAAACGTGGCCTCCAGGCTCTGATGAATGTATCTCTGTTAATGAATGTTTCTGACTGTACATACCGATGTCATGACATAATATTTATGAATCTACAGGATATGTATTGATTATTTTTCTTTACTTTATTCTTTTTTGAAAATGTCTGTGAATATCTCCTGTTGGGTTATGTATCTTGTAAAGTCTTGTAAAAGTAAAAAAAAAAAAGGAAAAACTCACCTCTTCTTTGCTTTTCTTTTATAAACAATATTTCTATTCTTTATGCAAACTGACACACACTTGACTCACCTGTCTCCAACAGGTATGAGATGCAAACTGCAATCAGAGCAATCAGTTTGCGAAAATAACAAACCACTTAAGACTACTCTTCCACCCACATCAAACATCACTGATGTGAAGTCTGCACGATTCAGAGTGAACACATAGCACTCCTCGGTTAGAGCCTGCAATCTTCTCCCCATGTGACCCTGCTATACCCCATTTCACTGGATAATGTTAGCCATGGCATTGCATAACACCAGTCAGTGTACTGTAATATTTACACAGAGACAGTCGCCTCAGCTGGCCTTATATAATTTGCTGACCTTAGACCCCTCTGAAACGCCCTGAGTACAAGATGTTGAGCAGAAGTTTGTCAATGTCCGTGGGAAAACAAGACAAAGGATAGAGAAGAATGTGTGAATGTGAGCTATATCGGCAGAGAGCACTGAAAGTATAAAATCCCAAGGTAATAAAGGAGACAGTAAATTAAAAAAATATAAACTTATTTTAAAAAAAAAAATTCTCATTTAAGTTAGTGGGTGGATGACAGGTGATGAAAGTATTAAGAGGTGTGAAAGAACACGGATGAGAACGAGAAGTTCCCATTAAAAAAAAAGTTTCATGAAAACAGACAATAAAACAAAAGGTGAAAGAAGAGAGGTTTAATCAGTGAGTCAGACATCTTGACAGTTTATTTCAATGTGGGCTGTGCAGTATAGAGTGAATAAATGACTGAAGAAGAGAATAAATTTAGACAAAAAGGAAGAGGGTGGGATTGAGGATCTCCATCTTTATCAGTGTGTGCCTGTACATGTGGCAGCATTTTTATTTGCTATACTAGCTGGTACCACTTATAGCTGGTTGCTAACTGGTACTAGCTGTTGTCCAAATAGAGGCATGCATGCACACCTTGCAAAGCAAGCCTTTGATTTAATTTTAGAATGACATTCACAAGCAAGTCTGTACCTCCAGAGTATGTTTTTCTGCTGTATTACTTCATGATTTACACACAATAGTTCGTAATGTGGGGGGGGGTTCATTTAAAAGGATTGATGTAATTCCTGCATTCCACATTTTCATTTGTCACCTCTGACATTTAATAGACATTTTAATGGAACACACAACTGTTTAACATTGTGTTAATCTATGGATTCTCTATGATGTCTAGCTTTAGGGAAAGATAATACAGACCTGTGTCCTTGGGCACAGAAATAACATATGTGACATTTAAACCTTCCAGTCAAAATTGCTTTCAAATGAATGAGCTTATGTTTATGAACGTTGTCATTATTATTTATTAGTAACTTGAACTTCGTGCACAGCTGCTGTTGGACTTATACTTGCAGTTGACTTTCACTTACAGCTGCAGTTTATTGTTTTTTGCTGCTGCTTGTGGACTTCATGCTAGTTTACTCTATGTCCATGAGAATGTGAGTTCTCATGTTGTATAAATGTGTCTTTTAATAAAAGAGCATGTAATGTAATCTGATTCCATCTTGCATCTAAGGGAAGGCCACATGGGGAAAATAGCAGGAAAATAACAAACGTCAACGTCAACAAACGTTATTCAGGCCCACAAACAGTAATGGCACGTGGGGTGTACTTCAGGCTTGGTTGTGAGTGGTTGGACTCGGCCCACCAGTCAACCCGCCCTTCAGTCGGATCTCTCGGCGCACAACCGGTGGAGTCTTCGCCAGAATAATTTAAATAACAGCACAAGAAAACTAAACTGGGGAACAAACGAACGCAGAAAGATTTCATACCTGTGACAGTTCTGGAAATCAGGTGAACAGGAAACGGGGCGTGCAGGAAAGAACCAGAGGTGCGCACAGCTGTCTGTTTTTATGCACTGCGCACATACGGGGCTTTCGCCCGAAAACGCGCCAACGTGGATTTAAATACGGAAGAGAAAACGCTCTGACTACCGTCCGCGGTCAAAACACTCTGTAACTTCCACCAGGCCGTTATATCTTGTTTGCAAGAAAAAAAATTAACTGTCCGGTACCGTAGGTAAACCCGACAGCGTTGTCTGTAGTCACTACTCTGTGGTCTGGAGCAGTGTCCCGCCAGCTGCACCATCTGATTGGTTTCATGTACACATGCTATTCAGATCTGCAAGTTACTTTAGCTTCGAGGTTAGCGATAGCTTTTCTCTCGCTCTCTTGCTCGGTGTATCTCGGAACAACAGATGAACTTGTTCATCAGTGTGGTATTTTTGTAACTTCAGTTTAGAGGATTGTGATGTTTACAACTTCATTGATGTCTGCTATCTTACTTTAGACACACAGCTCCGCTTGCTAACTGTAGCTGCTTTGGTCTGACCTTCTATGTACACAGTAGCCTTCACTGTTGATAGGATATAACTCGTGACGAATGGCCAATCAGATGATGCAGTGGGAGTAGTGACTACAGAAAAGCAGAGGCTGCATTAGAGCCAGAGTAACACATGTTAAAGTTTATGTATTTTCTAGCAAGCACAGTCTG